AAAACGGCCAGGCTTGCCCACCTCACAGGACGGAGAAGAAAGGCAATCCTGTAAGAGACTAGGGCTCCCTACGTGGGAAGGGGAAGTGATTTTAGCCAAGCATTTGGCTGTGAGTCCGGCTGATGGTTCCAATTCAACTTAGCAAAGGAGAAGAAGGAATTGCTGAGGGTGGCAAATTGGTTATAATTAAGAGAACCTGGGAGGCGCAAAACAATGTGAGGGCCACCAGCTGCCCTGGGTCTGAGGCCTCCATCCCCAGAGGAGCAGCTCAGGAAACCAGCCGTCCTCCCCTGCAGCGCAGAGCATTCGAGCAAAGATGAGGGAGGAAGGAGCCCCTCTGGGGCTCTCCCTTAGACTCCCAGGGCCCAGAGTGCTGCTATGCACAAGGGTCCCCCTTTCTGCTCCACCAGCCACTTTCCCTTCCCTTTCTCCACCATTTAAACTCAGCTGTCTCCAGCAAGCAAGTAGTTTTGGGGGTGGGTTCAAGTCCCAACTCCTGTGCTTCTTCAAGGAGGTATTTAGCCTCCCTGAGCCTCAGTGGCTTCATGTGACAAAGGTGGGCAATAACAGTGCCTAATCCGTACAGTTGTGAGCATGAAATCAGATGCGTGAAAAGCGCTCAGCATAGTGCAGGGGGCAGCAAATTACGGCCTGTGGGCTCACCACCTGTTTTGTAGGGCCCCCGAGCTAAGACTAGCTTTTATGTTTTTTAATTTTGGGGGGGAAATGAAAAGAAGAATATTTGGTGACATGTGAAAGTTATATACAATTCAAGTTTTGTGTCCATAAATTAGGTTTTATCAGAACACAAGGCTGCTTACTCGTGGGCCTCGGTGACCCTTCCCCACCCTCCCACCGATTCCCCACCCCTCTCACAACTGTGTGGACGGCTCCAGGCTGGGCCTTGATGGGATCCTTGAGGATCCCAGCGGATGGGCGGTGCTTCTGGCAAGCAGAGGCCTCCTAACCAGTGCAGGCAGAGTTGAGTAGTCAGAGTCCAGAGCCCCTGTGGCCTGCAAAGCCTAAAGTAGTGATTATTTAGCAGAAAAAGTTGCTGGACACTTAGTAAGTGATCAGGAAAGCGTACCCATGGTTATATTATTACTCTTGTTGTCTGTTCTCTTTTGGTCTAATTTTAACTTTTAGGTAACCTTGCTTATGGCTTAATGGAGAAATTCTAAACCTGAAGTCCACGGAAGGGTTTCTCGATGCGGTGGTGTTGGTGGGGGCATCCCTGGAATCTCCAGAATTTCTATGCAGATTTTTTGTAGGTGTGGGTCTTTGGGGGTGAAAGGGGGCTTGATAACATTCATCTGATTCTCAAAGGGGTCTGTGTCCTCAAATAGGTAAAGAAGTGTAGGTCTGATGCCTTCCCCACTACAGACAAACTGATCTGTACTGTCCTTGGGCTGTCTGGAGGTGACACTCACGATGGGGAGATACTTGGGGGCCACGGGGCCTCCCTCAGAGCCCATGCCCCTGCCTGGGTGGAAGAGGTGTGCAGTGCCACCAGGAGTAAGGTGCCCTGGCTTCAGAGCCAGCAGACGTGGGCTGAGTCCTGGCTCTGCCGTCCACTGGGTTGAGCCGCTTCTGGTTCACAGGCTGGGTTGTCCCAAAGATGAATTCCGTCTTGTCTGCCGAGTGCTAGGCACAGTGTCTGGCTATTATTATTATGATCATCACCATCATCATTATTCTTATCCTTGCACCCTGAAAAGCGCTTTCCCTGGCTCACCCCAGACCCATCAAAAAGCTGCCCCATATTGGGCCAAATAGGAGGATGGAATACCCCTTGAGTGCTCTTGATCTGACTTTATGTTTGGTGCTGGCAGCTAAGGCATGTTCATTGGACGGATTCACGCCACCAGTGTGCAAAGTAGCAGGCCCCTGTTAAGTGTTTAAAAGTTCGGTGGCCTCATTTGAACGGGGAAAATGGTCAACATTCCTAAGAGTGAAATTCGTGAAATCTGAAGCTCCTCAGTTGCAAAAGCCTTGGCTGTTTCAGTCCTTTCTGATTTTCCCCTGAGGAGTTACTCTGGACATGAAGCTTGCATCTGCTTTCCCCCTAAAATGCTTCTCTGTGGAGCCCCTCCCCGGCCCAGGCTTCCGCCGCTAGCAGGTTGATTCCGGAACCTGGTGACCGCCTTCGGGAGGAGGGCCACTGGTGTCCTTGCTGCCTGCCGGGCTGTCCTGGAGACGGGCCTCCTGGACGCGGGCCTCCTGGACACCGGCTGGTCCCCAGCCAGCCCAGTCCGGTGCCGCCTGCCCCCCGTTGCCAGGCAGAGTTCCATTCTACTGGGGCCTAGTGGCTCCAGACAACAGCTGGAGACCAGAAATGAGGACTTCCAGCTACAAGCAAATGTTGCTGCTTCTTGAGGTTGAAATATTCTATCCCCAAAGTGTCCCTTTCAGCCAAGCACAAACAATCCCCCATGGGGACCCGACCCCGCCACGGAGGAACAAAAGCTTCCCAGTTCTGAGTCCCAGAGACTGTCTGCAGTTTCAGGCACACACAGCCCAGTGGGGAGAGGAGACGATCATGTGACTTCCAAGCTGGGAGACAAGGTCACTCTTGTCCAGCCCATTTCATCTCCGCAGGAAGAAGGGCCTTTGATTGCCTGACAAAGGAGGAGGCTGATGCCGCCCTGGTGCTGGCTCCCGGTGGGCGGGTCGTCCAGTGTCCGCGTCTCTCAGGTTCGGAAGAACGACGGGATGAGGGCCCGGTCGCTCGTCCCCAAAGCCCCCTCGGATGGTCCTGCTCTAGGCAGGACAGTTGCACACTCCGGCTGCCTCCATTTTTCTGGTGCAGGCTGATCCGTCTCTAAGAAATTCACCAGCAAGGCCACTCCATTTGTTTGCCACCCGCCATCAAAAATATTGTCCTTCAGGAAAGAGCTTCCAGGAACAGAGAGAAGATCAACACTCAAGTGAAGCTGGCCTCTCTGGAGCCCTCGGACTGTGACAGCCGCGGTGCAGGCCCACGCCAGCAAGGGGCGGGGGGCGGACGGCAGGAAAGGAGGGCTCGGGCTCCGTGTCGGGGTAATGTGCCTTCTGGAGAAGGATCTGGAATACCTGCTGGGCTGCGCCTTGTATCCCCTGCCCCTCTCTGTCCTGAGCGATAGACTTTGCACTTGAATAACCAATACGCTGCCTGTGGCAAAGGAGGCAGCCAGCGGAACTTGCACAACTGTCTGCGTGTGGGCAGTTCGCTTCCCAAAGAGGAGGTGACTACTGACCCAGCTTCTCAGATTAAAATGGCTGTCAAACTTCAGTGAGCACTGGCATCATTCAGGAAGCTTCCCAGGGATTCTGACTCGGCAGGTCTCGGGTGGGACCCAGTGTCTGTGTCTCTCCAAATTTTGAACAAGCACATCAGGGATTCCAAGGCAAGTGATCCAGGCACGTTTTGAGAGACACGTCTGTGTGATGTTGTTGTGTTGGACTGGCTGGGGCAGGGGCCTTACCTGGCAAATCACCTCCTGAGCATTTGGAACTGGGGCTCCTAGAACCAGCAGCATGAGTGGGTGCCTGCACCAGTCGGGTCAGAAGCCTGGCATCTGGGGCTGCCACCGACCCCAGGACCGGCCCACGCTCCTCCTCACCTGCCTGAGTGTGTCCTCAGCAGCCTTCTGGAATGGCCTCACACACACCCCAGGATGTTGTCCGTGCCCACGTTTCCATGGACTGTGTCTCCCTGGGCCTGACCCTCCGTGGGTCTCAGGCTGCCTCCGTGTCCCAGAGGGCCCTCACTCGACAGACAGAACTCAGCATGTTTTCTCTCCCAACTAGTGCCATCCACAATCTTTACCTCAAAAACTGAACCTTCTCTCCTCCCCTCAGCCCCCAGTCAGAATCCTTGGGCATCATCTTTGTTCTTAACCACCCCCCCACCCCACCCCCGCCCCTTCATTCTAGAACAAGGAACAGCTGCCGTTTTCTGAAAACATACTACAGGTACCTCATCCCAATTCTATGAGGTACATACAGTAATTGTCCCCGGCTGACAGATGAGAAAGTAGGCACACAGGACTGGGTCACTCGCCCAAGGTCATGTGGTAAGTGGTGGGGCTGGGGTGTGAGCCGAAGGCCCTGGTCAATGGGTGTGGTGTGCTCTCCCCCGGGGCCTCCCCTCCCTCCACAGCCAGGCCCTCTGCATCTCTCGCTGGACCTGGGTATCTCCCGGCTCCTGATTCGCCTCCTCCCCCTCGGCCTTACCCCACTCCAACTGTTTTTCCTAACTCAAGTAGGAAATCGTTCTAAACTGGGAATCTGATGTCACTCCTCTGCCAAAACCCTTCAAAGGCTGCCTGTTTTACACTCCCTGGCCTCGGCGAATGAATAGTGGGAGCTGAGTCCCAGCAGGCCAGCTCCAGGTCTGTGCTCCCAACTACTACTCCCGGCTCCCCTCTGAGCCTGTCTCCTCATCGGCGAGACAGAGGTGACGGTACCCACCAGATGGTTGTTAGGGTGTGTGCGGCGCCTGGCAGGAGCCTGAAGCTCATAGGTGGAGCTGCTACCAGTGCTGTTAACAAGAAGGGGGTGGGGAAGAACGGGTTGCCCTGAATGGCAAGAAGAAATCCACATGGGATAATAATGACGCAAGCCCTTCAGATACATTTCTCACCTAATCCTCATAACCTTTTGAGGCATAGACACAAGGAGGGGAAGCTGAGGCTGAGAAGTGGGCTGATCCACTCAAGCTCAACTCAAACCTAGGTCTTTCTGAGCACAAAGCCCTTTCCTTTTCCCATGACCGGCCCCAGGTTCTGAGGTATTCACTTGGAATTCCAAGGGCTCAGATCTGACCTGCTGCTAAAGATCCACCGTGGGTCAAAGCTATGAGGAGACCTGAGGAAAGCTGGGGGCACTAACAGGAAAAACTGAGCAAACAGTGAGGCCTGGCATTTGCACGGACTTCAGAAGAGCGCACAGTCTGCCAGCATGCGACACCCCCCTCGTTGCAAGCGCCCCTATAAAAACGACATGCTGGGGCCCGTCGCTGTTTCTACAACAGTGAGAATATTTATTTTCTCCAGACAGTAAAAATAACATTTTTCTCTCTTTTGTAAAGTTAAGTACCATTACATTCCATTTTCTTAAATAACAAAATCCTAAAAATATATATTAAATTGTATACAGTGCGTCACACTTCATCTTATATTTTAAAATACATGATGTTTCTATTTTATTCTCAAAGTTGCATATTAAGAGCATATTTACAGATAAAGCCTTGTCATCCAAAGTCAAGATCCCTGTGGGAAGGTGAGTCTGGATGTGGGCAGGTCTTGATGCTGCGTGCACCCCAAGACGGCAGCTCCCTGTGCAGGAAAGGAAGGGCCCCCCACTATGTGCTCCTGAAGACACATCTTTTCTGAAGCAGATTTACCTCCGACTTTCCTCCACACCCCACTTCTGCCTTGTTGAGTATGTTTGACTTGGCAACACAGAAGCCTGTGTGATGGGCTCCCCTGGGGTCTGCATGCAGTGGGCTGAGGCTCCATCATCACCCCTGAGCTGTCCCACCTGAGGGGGGAGGCAGCTGCAGCTGGAAGCTTTGAGAAATACCCCATGCCAGGGCAGCTAGGCTGAGAGACCTGGCCAGGAGGTAGAACAGTGAGGAAGGTAAACAAAGACACCAGAGGAAACAATCAAAAAGTTAAAAGTTCCCAAGGTAGTAACAAAAGCAGACCTCAAACATCAAACAGGAGATCCAAAACCCAAGAGGGTGGCAGCTGACTGGGCTAGGGGATGGGGAGCGGGCCGGGCTCTGTGGGAGACGCGGGATGGCCTCATCAGACAAGGGAGACAGGATCTCGGAGGCCGTCCACTGCTAAGTGCTCGTGGAGATTAAGTGCCCAGGACGCATGGGGCTTGGTGATGGCCTATGTGCCCCGCTGGTGTCAGGCCACTCCTGGGCTGACAATGGGGCGAGTGGGTGCGGCTGCGTGGCTTTGCCCTGAGGGCCAGAACAGCTGTCCTTGCTAGTGCTTTGATCTTTGTGGGTTTCTGGCTGATTGCAGTCTTGAGCCAGAGCCCACACTTCAGAAGTTACAGCAGCCTGGTTACCTCGCTCACCCCCAGAGAGGCCTCAACCCTGTTCTGACAAGGGAGGGCGATGTGGAGGACACCTGGGCTTCAGGCCTACACCTCCTCTGTTCTGCAAGTGATTGGGCACTCGGGGAGGAACATGGGGCGCCACGTGCTTCCAGAGGGGCCAAGGACACTGTGAAACGCAGCTAAGACCACGTTCCCAGCTGGCTGCAGGCATTTACCTGGAGGCAACAAGATCAGCTGCCCGCAGCCCTCCCTTCCCTGGCGGCCTAGTGCTGAGAAGGCAGGGCCTGGATCCTGCAGAGAAGGAGTGAGGAGGGCACTCAGGCCCAGAAGCACCACCCACAGCCTCAGTTCCCTCTCTCACCTCCGGGCAAAGGCTTTGGGCAGGATATTTTCAAAGTGGCAGGCCACAGTGGCCCCCAAAGTCCCTCCCCTTCTTCTTTCCTAACCTGCTATGTGATCCGTGACGTCCTTTCTTGGGGGCATGCTTTCCAGCACCTTCAATCCTCACTTCTCTCTCAAGTGGTTTCTTAAAAGACCAAGTGCGGGCCTCCTACGGTGCTCCTGGGAGCACACCTCACCTCCTCTGGGACAATTATTCCTCAGGTGTTTACTTAGCCACAGGGGACCCTCTGTGGGGTGCTGCTGACAGGTTCCTACCGGAGCCGAGGTGTTTATGGAGGGTGGGCCTGGGACAATTTATGGCCTCTCCCCCAGCACTGTCCTGAGGCTGGTTTGGGTCTCCTGGGGCTGCTCCCTGGCCAGTAAGTTGATCCTGGTGGCAGTGGCTGTGCGAGGGCCAGCAGGAGGGAGGGCACTGGGGCGTCACCAGCACTTCCTGGGTCTCAGAACGGGCTGCTCCAGCTGCAGACGCAGACAACACCCTGGCTGTGTGAGGTGGGCAGGGTGGATGGGTGGACCCACGGGATGCCCCAAAGGCCAATGGCCGCAGGAAGCCCTAGGTGGCTGAACAACTGCCCCTCGGCCAGGCGACCCCCTCCCGGGGCTAAATTCCGCATTCCCTATGTGCTGTGAGTGGATCTATTCAGGGCACAGGGCCCTTTGTGACTGCACACACCTGACACTTGGTTCAGAGGAGATTCCACAACAGCCAGGAATAGCTTCGAGGGGAGACAGCACATGTCAGTGTATTTCCAGTCGTGTGGGACAGGCCTGTGTCTCCAGACCCAGGGGCCTGTGGACAGCTGCTCTGGGGTAATCAGCCTTTCCAGATCAAAGCGTGAAGGCAGCACCGAGCGGCTCTGTGCCCGCAGCAGGCCTCAGCCGGTAGCTGGGGCAGCGCCCCTGCCCTCCCGTGGACACACTGCCCCATTTCCCCCGTCCTGTGCCCCTGTGCCCCTCTGCTGGCCACCTCGCTGCATCTCCCCTGGATGCCGGGTGTCACCCCTCCCTGCTGGCCCCACACGGTCCTCTGCGTTTCTGGGAGCAGCCAGGCACACACAGGTTGCCGGCATGGCAGGACCCCAGGAAAGGCCGCAGCAGGCGGTCGCTGCGGGATTTCGGGAAGGTAGGCAAAGTGCTCCAAAGAGGGAACCTGTGAGGCCAGAGGCCCGAGGCCTGAGGCCCGGGTGCCTCTGGGAGAGTCGTGCCCTGACAAAGGCCCAGGACTGGCCTTCGGAGGCCCAGGCTGCTCTTCTCAGCTGCTGTTGACAAAGCCTACTTCCGGATGGCGGGGACTTCTAAGCTGGAGTCGGCTCTTCCTCCCGACCAGCAACCACGGGAGCTGCACCTCTCCATCTTGGGAGGCCTGTCGTCGAGGGTCTCCAGGTCCCAAAGCCCCCCTCTCAGTCCTCATGCCACTCTCCGCGACTCTCTTCCCGTCTGAAGGGCGGGGCAGTGTGGGGCTAGGGACCAGGGCCCTCTGAGCCATTCCAGACGGCACTCTGTCCCCATAACGAAGGAGCAGAGGGGACCGCAGAGCACACAGGCCACGGGGTGGTTTTTCATCTTTTAAAAATGAGCTCCGCCTGCAGGAGGGACTGCTGGTGCCCGTGTCTTACCTAAAGCTGCCTAAAGGCTAAGCCACAACATTTATACTCCCTGTTCTGAACAGAGAGTCAGAGAACCACGGGGGCCCGGCTCAGGTTCCACAGGACCACAGGCTGCACGGGGGCAAGGCCAGGCGATCCCACACAACGAGGAGTCACTGAGCACCTATAAAAGCTTTCTGGAAAGTCTGTTGTGTGAACAAATGAATGGATGTTTTATACGACCACTGCGGGCTTGCTCTGCGATCACCGAGCTATGGAAAGAAGCTATAGAAAGAAGCCCGTGTGTGGCAGGGGGCAGGCTTGATGTGATGGGGGACCAATTCCCAGGTTCTCCCGGGTTGGAGGAGGCCCACCTTCATCTAGCACCCAGGGAGCAAAGCCCCAGAGTCAGCACAGAGCAGGGGCCCTCTTTATGCTTTGGGGTGCTAATGCCCAGGAATACAGGACCAGGCCAACCCCCAAGAGAACCTCAGAAGCATCCCTGTTTAAAACCATAAAGAATGGGAGAAAGTGATCTGTGTGGACAAAACAGAAAATACGCAAGCAAGACTCAGCATATACTACACCTACCCACCACCCTACAGTGATCTAGAAGGTACCTGAGCCCAGTGCCAGACACGACCATCTCTGCCATCTCAGCCCCTCTGTCCTGACACCCCCATTCTAGATGAGAGAGAGAGAGAGAGAAGCAAAGGGAGGGCCCAGACCCTGGGACTTTGGGTCTCTCTCCTAAGTGCAGCGATGAAGCAGGGGGAGTCCAGGCTAGGCCTGCCCCCGCAGCAGGACGTCCCTTTCCAGCCCGTAGGACGGCGCTCCTGCAGAGACTGCCAGAGAGGCCGAGGGAGAGGCAGGGAGAGTCGGTCAGAGGAAGCCACGGGTCCCCAGTGGCCTTGAGCTCGGAGGGACCTCGTGTCCTGGGCTCGGAGGGGGCAGCTTTTAGTCACTCACAAGAGGATTACGGTCATCTGGTTGACTCTGACCCTTGAACTTCTTCTTAAAGATGGAAATTGAAGTAGAGGGCTTATAAAAAATGCTCCAGATTTCCCCCGACGTCCCGGGTTGATGACAATCCCTAAGGTCCCCTGAAGCAGGAACGCGATGGGATCTGTCGAGCAAAAACAACTTAATATATCAAGTCGGGTGCAACAAAGATCCCAAAACAACCTTCCGTCTCCTGAGATACCTGTACCTATGAACTGGGGCACTCAGTGAGGCGAGGCCTTGGGGAAGGCCTAACAGCTGCCTCTGGAGGTCTGAAGGGCTATTGTGGGAATGAAATGTGTCCGTGGGATGGGAACACGGTGGCATGGCTTCCAGCTCAGTATAACAAAGAACTTTCTAACTGGAAGAGTTATTCAAATCTGCAAGGGGCTGGCCTGAGAGATGAAGAGTTTTCAAATTCTTTTTTTTTTTTTTAGAGAAGAATTCTTTCTTTAAATGATATTTACCTGGAAGCCCCCCTGATTAAAACAAGATAAAGCCAAAGTCTCTCCTGTCTTACTGCCAACATGTGCCCCTGTCCCCCCATGGCAGGCCCCCCACCCCGGGGCTGCTTGGCAGGGAAGCTGCCGAGGGACCCCAATGTCACAGGGGAGTCAGACATGCGCTGTGGGGCCCTGGTATGCGGTGAGGTGCTGGGCCCTGCAGAAAGCGTCCAGCTCTCTTGCTGCATCTAAGAGGCTTTCCCAGGCCGTGTGAATCGTGACTTCAACATGTAGGTATATACACTGAAGCGCAAGGATGAGCTTGGTAAACACTAAAAAAAGACTGTTTCCACTGAAAAATGTAAAGTGCAGTGTAGACAGGCCTGTAAGGACAGCCTTCACAAAGCAGTGGCGGAGCCAGCATTTCACGTATGAAAAATTCTGCAGCAGAGGGCAAGTGAGAAGGTCCGGAAAATGGTGGATTTATAAGACACCAATGTTCAGGAAAGGCCTTGAAATACAGTGAGGCTGTCTATCAATTATAACTCTCCCTGCTCTTGGGACCCTGGGTGGCTCAGTTGGTTGGGCGACTGCCTTCGGCTCAGGTCATGATCCTGGAGTCCCGGGATCGAGTCCCATGTCGGGCTCCTTGCTCAGCAGGGGGTCTGCTTCTCCCTCTGATCCTCCCCCCTCTCATGTGCTCTCTCTCTCTCTCATTCTCTCTCTCAAATAAATAAATAAAATCTTAAAAAAAAAAAAAATAACTCTCTCTGCTCTCAAAGGAGCAGAGAGAGCCTGGACTGGGAGCCACAGGAAAGACAGAGTAGGGGTCCCGAAAAGATCAGAGCTTTTCTCCGGAAGTACACAAACAACAGGAGCATAAATAACTGCCTCTTTTCCTGGAAGACGGAACTGTGAAACCCGAGTAGCAAAGTAAGGGAAGGAAATATCGTTTTTCCATATCAGTCAGAATTGAAGGATGAAGCTTCTTAATTGTTTTTAAATAATTATTAAGCAATAGCTAATAAAATGTTAGGAACCTCTTCCTAAGAATGTTTCCCAATTTCTAGAAGGCATTAGTAATAAATAGGAATGGTAGTGTCTTAGAAATCTTTGCTCTAACGTGAAGATCTCTTTAAGGGGCCAGCACAAATCAAAAATTGGAAATGGTTGTTTTTTATGCCCAGACTGTTTCAATCCTCCTTGAAATCATATCCTGTGAGCCAGAAGCAAACACAATCCCTCAAACCTTGGTGAGATTTGTCCAGTTGTACATTTCACTCTACAGAGAATGAGGAATGCGTACTGCCTTATGTTGCCTAGGACTAAGGGCTTTGGCATCATGTTCTGATACGACAATTGTATCCAGAAAAATGAAGCACAGTAGAAAAGGAGTTCTGAGCCTTCCCCTCGTGGGATTGGGCAGCTTTCATACTCACTTGAATGTGACATGCAGAAGTATCTTTGCTACAATGGCTGTGACTGTAAGGATGAGGAGAGTTGCCAGGCCATACACTGTCCATCCTGCAAGTACAAAAGATAGGGTTTCTTGGACCTGTTGGAGCTCCGTTTTTAGGAGGTCTGTTGGAAGCCCCGAGTGACCACTGGCAGCTCAGAGACACAGGTCTGGCTGAGGAGCCCCCTGCAGGTGGGGGCAGCCACCAGACGCAGCTGAGAGCTGGGCGGGCAAGGAGCCCCAGGCCTTCTGACCACCTCGCCTTGCTCTAGAGCTCCCTCTTGGAGAGAAGCAGGCAGGGTGGTCCAAAGTGCATTCCACTTGGGAGGTGAAAGGAGTGGTATATATGATGTCTTTACCACTGGAATCACTGTGCAATCACAGATGAGTTACATAAACTCTTTGGGCCTCAGTTTCCCTATCCAAGGAATGAGACGTGTGACCCGTGAAATCCTACCAGGATATAAAAACAAGCAACGCAGAGCACGCAGTGGAAGGACTCTCCTTGCTGACCTAGGGTGGGCCCTGCAGGGTAAGACCCCTAGGCTAGATCTTCCCAGGCAGAAAAGAGAATATGGAAGCATGCAGCCAAGTTAGCCAGCTTCAACCACAGACCATTACCTCCTCTCTATCCCTCTCCCGCATGACTTTTCTTCTAGCCCGTCACTATCTGATCTGTTATTTTGCTTCTTGTCTTTCTCTTCCCACTTACAAGCCACAGGAGGGTAGGGATACTATTTGTTTGGTACCTTCTATAGTCCAGTGCCTACAATAGTACTTGGCACCCCTGAAGCACCGACATGTCTTCTGAATGAATGAATGCATGAATGAATGGAGCTCTTGTATATGCCAGTGAACTTAGGGAGATGCAACTTGGGAACTCTAGAAAGATATCCTCGAAGTGGGAAAACACTGGCTTGGCTGATTAATCACAACTTGCAAAAGGCACACGTGCTGGATCTTTGGAGGTGAGCACTTTCTCCTAAGGACTAAGGAATCAAGCTAATGAGAAAATGTCCCTCAAAGGCCAGGACAGTCACAGAGCCAGTACCCACAACCTGCCTGGGAAGACAGTTCCTTCTCTAACTGCCAAGAACACTGCCCTCAAGCCCCGTGGCTTCCACCCCCTTTTCTGGTGTCTGGAAACTGCTACCTGGGACGGTCTGGGGCGGGTGGCTGGGGCTGGTGGTGATGACGTAGAGGACTTTAGAGGACCGGGCTGCGCTGATGCTGAGGTTGGCCTGCTCTGTGATCACCTCGGCCAGCGTCTGGTTGGCAGCGGACCTCTCCTGCGGCGGCTCTTCCTTGACGGCTGGAAGATCAAAGAAATTAAGATGGGGGAGAGCTGATGGAGACAACAGAGAACTCTGGAGGAGGATGCACTGGCTAGGAAGAGAGGGCGTTTTTTGGATTCATTTCTGCGTGCAGTTCTTTCCACTGACCCCAAAGCAGAACCTGTCAGGCTCTGGCCCAGAAAGTGCCAGAAGAAGGGGCTGTCAACTTCTAACCATTTGACTAGTCTCTTTGAGGACACCTGAGCCTGCTTGCTTGCTCTCCTTGTGCCTTTTCAGTTATGGCGCCCTCTGCCCAGAATGCCTCCTTACTTCCTATCTATTGACCCAAATCCCACCTGTTCTCAAGACTGTCCCTCCCACCTACGGGAAGGCCTCCTCTCTCTGACTTCCTATAGCACATGCTGACTGAACTCTTCCCGAGGCCCTCGGCATCCGGGACAAAGACCAGGTCTCAGATGCCCCTGCTTCTCATGTGCTGGTGGAGAGATGTGCCTGGCACATGTGTGTGCACATCACAGGGACAGAGAGTGGGGCTTCATCTTAGGACAGTTGGGTTTTTTGAAGGTATATTGGGGTTTTTTTGTTGTTGTTATTTGTTTTCTTCTTTAAAGTTTCTTTTTTTAATGTAAGCTCTACACCTAACGTGCAGCTCTAACTCATGGCCCCGAGATGAAGAGTCACATGCTCTTCCAACCGAGCCAGCCAGGTGTCCCTTAGGAGGGTTCAAAGAAAGATGAGAAACTAGTCTTTTGGGATTGGTGGGGATATCAAGAGGCAGGAGAATGGACCAAATGACCTTTTTAAAGCCTTCTAATTCTATCAGTCTCAGCTCCTTCTTTCAGTTCTTCTTTCAGCCCTGCCATGACAACTGTCATCAGAACAACTAAAGTAGTGAAACTGACAGGTGTTGCCTCTTTTCTGTAAATATATGAAATGGGAGGTGGGAAAATCCGCAAGTTGAGTCAGTAGCTCCTGCCTTGCAGCCCCATCAAGACCCGCCCGAGGCCCGCAGGTCACCAGTGTGCCAGCGAAGCCCGAGGCGCAGCCTGGAGGGCCCCCCAGGAGGCTGCAAAGGGTTACCTTGGTATAAGACAGCAAATCCCTGGGCCTGATTGATGCGATCGGAGAAGAAGTACAAAATGACAAAATCCAGAGAGACGTTAAAGGACAGAGGCGGGCGGTTCCTCCCATTGAAACGGACCAGGACGCGGTGGGTATAGCCGTCCAGCAGCTCCACCATATCTGCAGAGTCCCTGATGTCAAACAAGGTGAAGCTGAAGCGGATGTGGGAGGCTCCTGGAACCCGGATGGTCCAGTAGCAGACCCTCCCTGTGGCGTAGGTGTCGGGAAAGTCAGGGGAATACACCACGGAGGTCATAGCCGAGTAGTTCCCTCCGCAGGCACCAACGAGAGCTGTGGAAGACAAAAGGACACTGGCCCTCAGCCTGGGGCTCGCTTTCAAACCGGTTACAAACAAAACTCTTCCTAACCAACATGATCCAGTTTGGGATATTGTTTTTCGTCTACAAAACCAGACTGTCTTATGTTTCAGGATCAAATCACAGAATGAATAGCTTAAACCCCGAACAAATGACTGTGGAAGCTTTTTTTTTTTTTGCCCAGGAGACCTTAGAATTAGCACGCAGGACGGTGGCTCAGCCTACATGGGGGTCAGGCTGGAGTCAGAGAGTCTGGGTTCGGGACCAGCTGGGCTATGTGATCCCAGGGGCTGCACTTCACTTCCAGAACTCCTGTCTCTCTTGGTTTGGAGGACGGAGAGGCCACCACCTGTTCCTGTATCACACAAATGCGTGAGGACAGATGAGATGAAGCACATGAAAACAGGGGCCTCTTTGCAGGGAGACACTTGCTGAGGTAAAGCCGTAAAAAGAGAAGGGCTTTACAGCTGCTCGGACATCCCTGGTACCTTAGGGGTGCAATGCTCACATGAGGGTCCCCACACACTCATCGAGCAGGAAACCCTGGCACAAGTGACTCTCTGCACAGGGGGAAACACTTGGTACTGATCACTCTGCACGAAGCACATTTGGTTTCTTTGGACTCCCCTTTTCCATTGGTGGGTTCTAGGAAGGGGATACAACCACTTCACTGTATCCTAATCAGTGAGGTGTAAACAAGATCCTGGAAATGAAAGTCCTTGAGAGGGACTGGGATTTAAAAGCTTCCCTTCGGTTTGCAGAAAGCAGTGAGAGAATGCTGCTTCTATCCGAACAACGAGAAGCAGCTCAAAACTCTTCTTGAACCCTTCAGAAGGCTGAAGTGTCAAGACAACCAAGAGGATTTAACTCTAAAAAGTAAGAAGCCCCTCTGAGGAGAGTCAGGCCGCACAAAGCGTTTCATCTTTAATAGAGCATGAGAGGAAGAGGTGGGCACCAAAAAAGCAAGTAAGAAGAAAGGAGCTAAGAGGCTGAGTGTGGGCTAGCCTCGCAGTCTAGAATGAGCAGGGGCCCCAGACACAGCAGGAATCTACACTCTCCTGCAAGCAGTTCTGTGCAGACCTCCACCCAGGGCCTGCAAGAATGACTGGGCTAGGGAAGGAGACCAAAGAGTACCCCTGGGGGGGGGGTGTATAGCTCAGTGGTAGAGCAGTTGACTGCAAAGAGTCCCCCTGGGTGGCACTCATACAGGACGGCCCCCCGGCTGTTGGGGGACAGGTGTGAAACACTGACTGCTTCCTGGACCTTCCTCTCAAAAGAGGTGAAAGCCTCAAGTGGCTGTGGGAGGAGCAGCAAACCCTCTTGCTCCCAGAGCCACTGGAGGGGTAGAAGCAAAATCTGTTTGCCTCTGTGGAGGGAGCAGGAGACTCTCTCCTTCCTGCCAAAGTAACCAGGCAGATCCACTGCTTCCAAGGGAAAAGCAGAGGCAAAAGCCATCAGCCCCTGATTGCCTTGAGCCCCCAGATCCTGCACCAATGCAAAGCAGAAGTCTGCTGCCCCCGAGGGAGGGGCAGGAAATTCTCTCCTTCTTGAGGACCACCACAGATATAAGGCAGGGTTTGACTGCTGGCGAGGGAGGGGGTGTGTGGGAATGCTGAAAAGGCCCCACCTCTGGGGCCCAGTAATGTCCTGTTTAAGACTGAGGATGAGGCAGGAGGCCCAAGAACCCCCCTCAGCTCACCAGGAGCACAGCACCAAGTAACAAGCAATAGTAGTCTACCATTGAGGTAGGGGAAAGAGTGCAAAGATCCCTTCTTTGGCAAAGGCACGTAGGAACTACTCAAAGCTGAGGGTGGAATAGAAACACTGGAAAAAAACAAAAAACCCCACTGGTATCCCAGGCTCCACACCAAGCACAAGGTAACAGCAGCCTATTGCTGGAAGAATTTGAAGCCTGATGTGCACCAATGGTAAAGACAGAGACAATATCCAAACCCAGCTCATCTGATAGAATGCCTCAGTCCCCACACTAAACAGTCCTGCCCATTTCCAGGTGTAAATTCTATTTACTCAGTCTGTACTGTTCTTCTACACACAGTGTATGGCAGCCAACAAAACATTATAACACACACATAAAACATGCAAGCAAGGAAGGAAAGAAGCAGCAAAAGAAAAAAAAAAGGACTCGTCATCAAGCGATAAGACAATCTGTAGGATCAGACTCAATAATGATGCAGATGTTAGAGCTATTAGACAAGGGCCACATGATTAATACAGTAAAGATCTACTGGAAAAGATGGACAACATGCCTGAACAGATTAGAAATTCCAACAGAGACATGTAAAGTTAAAAGAGTCAAATGTAAATGTTAGAAATAAAACAATATCAGAGGTGAAGAATTTCTTTGATGGGCTTATAGACAGACTACACACAGCTGAGGAAAGAGTCAATAAATTTGAAAATAGGTCAACAGAAATCATCTAAAATGAAGCAAAGAGAAAAAAAAAAAGAAGCGGGGAAAAAAAAAACTAAAAACAGAACAGATCATCCAGTAGCTGTGGGACAATATCAAATGATCTAACAACTGGAGTTCCAGAAAGAGAAGAAAAAGAGTAGGGGGCAGAAGAAATATTGGAAGAGATAATAGCTAAGAATGCTCCCAAGTCAATGAAAGGTGATCTAAGAATCTCGGCAAATAGTAAGCAAATAAATTTAAAAACAAAAATTAAAAAGCAAATAAAACAAAAAACATACCTAGACACATCATAGTCAAATGCTGAAAACCAACAATAAACATGAAATCCTGAAAGCAGGCAGAAGGGAAAAGATGATATACAGGGAACAAAGAGCAGACATCTCTAGAAACTGTGCAAGCCATAAGACAAAGGAGCATTTCTGAGATACTGAGAGAAAAAAAAACTTTCGGCATAGAATTCAATATCTGGCAAAAACATTCTTCTACAATGAAGGTGAAATAAGGCTTTCTCAAACAAAAACTGAGAGAAGATGGCAAATAAGAACATGAAAAGATGTTCAACATCACTGGTAATTATGGAAATGCAAATTAAAACCACAATGAGTTAGCACCATGCACCTGCTAGAATGGCTAACACTAAAAAGACACTCTACAAAGGGCAGGAGAGGATGCAGAGCAACTGGAAGTCTCACGTATTGTCTGTCAGAATGCAAAATGGGGTGGCCACTTTGGAAAACAGTTGACAGTGCCTTATGATGCCAAATACACACTTAGTGTATGACCCTGAAATCCTACTCCTAGGTATTTACTCAGGAGAAATGAAAGCACACATTCACACAAACACCTGTGCATACAGGTTAAGGGCAGCTTCGGAGCATCTTTATCATAGACAGACCAATGTTTATCAATGGATAAATGGATGAATAAATTGTGATATATTTGACAAAGACATGCTTCTTAGCACTAAAAAGGAGCTGTGGAAACAATCATGGGTGAATCTCAAAAGCATTACACGAACTGAAAGGAGCCAGAAACAAATTGTTAAGTACTATATGATTCCATTTATATGACATTCTTCAAAAGACAAAACTATACAGATGGAATACAGATTAGTGGTTGCTAAGGGCTGGGGGCCGAGAGAGGATTGACCACAGAGGGGACAAGAGATCTTTTTGAGGTAATGAAAATGTTCTGTATCTTGACTGTGTATGCATTTGTCAAATCTTGTTGGAGTGTTCAACTAGAAGGGTGATTTTTTATTTTATCTAAATTAGACCTCGATAAACCTAAATTTTTCAAAAAGGAAAGCTATAGAGAAAGATTCCCTAGGTAATCATCCTGACTTTCCCACATCCTAACTGTGAATTTGAACAAGATAATTTCAGTATACTTCAGTTTCCTCATCCATAAAATGAAAATAATAATAGTTTCTCCCTTATGGGATTTTACAAGAATTAAAAGAAGTTAATCTATGTAAACTGTTTAGGATAGGATCTGGCACGTAGTGTAAGCTCAGTAAGTATTAGCTATACTATTCTTTTTTTTAAGATTATTTATTTATTTATTTGACAGAGAGAGAGAGACAGCGAGAGAGGGAACACAAGCAGGGGGAGTGGGAGAGGGAGAAGCAGGCTTTCCAAGGAGCAGGGAACCCGATGCAAGGCTCAATCCCAGAACCTTGGGATCATGACCTGAGCCGAAGGCAGATGCTTAATGACTAAGGCCCTGCTATACTATTCTTATTATTTGTAAAGAATCAAGTGTCCAGGTTAAACTGATTATTTCAACAGCAAAGGCAGACCTTCAACTTAGAACTTTGAATTTCCAGATGCGTGCCATGCAGACAGAAGATTCAGTTCGGCAAGTCTGAGAGCAAACACATGACATCTATGATAGATTGTTAAAATTCAGTGATAATTCAACAGGAAACTTGAAATTTAGGAATATATGCAAGATCTTATTTTTGAAGGGGAGGTTAGCTTGCCACATACAACCTGGGCAGGTGGGGACTCTGAAGTAGCCCTGGGTAAAACCTCCGGTGGCAGAAAGCCAGTGTCCTGCCTTCTTTGATTTAGTACCTCTGTCCCGCCTCAATATTAGCTAAGTCAGTTTCTTCAGGAACAGACATCAGGCATCAGCAGGAACAGCCAGCCTCCCCCAGATGCAGCTGAGTGCTCTGCTTCTAGATGTGAACGATACTGGCATGTCTCAGGAAACAAACCTTAACCAAATGGGTCCCAGCCATGAATCAGATTCCACTGGACTGGCACCCAGAAAAGGAGAAGAGTATTACCGTATTTCATCAGTTTTAAGGGAAACATTTTAATCTTTCTGACTGCAATGTGTCTGTCCATCAATGCATGTTATTATTTAGTTGGAAGTATTTTTTTCCTCAGTGATACATACAATGATGTTGCCTCTCATGACTGATAGCATGTGGGTGTCTATGAAGTATAATTACTAATGCAATCCTAGAGGTCAGATTCTATTGGACTTTCAGCCCTCAATATTTTTTACCATTAATCTCTTCTTTTCCCACTAAAATATAAGTCCCATGAGGGAAGGATCTCCATCTGTGGGGCCTTGGGCAAGTTACCGAATTTTTATGAGCCTCTGTTTTCTCCTCAAATAAGGATAACAGTACCTGCTTCGCGGTATTATAATTAAGGGAAGGAATGCATGGAAAGTAAATAGCACAATGTCCTAAAAAATATATCTGCTCAACTAATGTTACAGAGTAAGGACCAATCCACACAACTCACTTCTTTCAGTGCCTAGACGCTGAAAGGGGCCCAAGAGGCCAGCCTGGGCAGTCTCTGTAACCTACTATTGGCTCCAGTCTCTCTGATCTTTTATTTGGTTCCGTTAATTCAATAAATTAAATTCTGGGGCAGCAGATGCTCTGAAGCTTCTGTCAGTGCTGCATTTATACACAGTACACAGCCTACTTCATATCCTCCTGGAGCTCACAAGAGCTTGCTGGAAAATGAGCCATATGGCCTATGACAAATTACTTGATGTGGCAATGATGACTGAGCAGACGGCTGCCTCCATAATCTCTCTGTGGAGGTGCAAATGCAGCCTGAGAGCCACTCGAGCTGAGGAGCCTGAGGCACCGTTCTGCAACAAGGAGCAGAGAACAGGAGGAACTCACTGACATCCTGACTGGGACCCAAGTTCCAGCCACACTGGTAGCAGAGCCTGATATTCTGGGGAACCATCACCTGGTCCCTTTCTCACCAACTAACTTTTCCAGTCTCTTCAAAGAGACATCTTTGTCCTCCCAAATTATGGGACAGTCTGTAGTCACCATCTGCAAGATGCTCGGCTTTATCCAATGGATCGTTAAGACTTCCATGAAGCAGTACTTACGCTATTTAGATGATTTTCCCCTCTGGCAGGGAAACCTCACAGATGATTTCTATAGGGCTGTACTTTGTACCTTTCTTTGCAGAGCTGAGGGGTGGGGGTTACTGGAGCAGGCTACCATCAGGGGCCTCTGCCAGTCAACACACACCAGGGCCTCTGGATACTGGAGCTTCTCCAAATGCCAACCTCCTCAGTTCCTGAAGGAAAGGAAGCCAGAAATTTCGGACAGCTTCTGGACGGCTGCAGAAGGGGCCAGTCTGATAATAATCAGAGCCACTGGGCCCACCCTGTTCACATGCTTTTAGAGCGTTAAACTGGACCCTTTATCATGACCTGTCTTATTATTCTTTTTTTTTTTTTTAAAGATTTTATTTATTTATTTGAGAGAGAGAGAATGAGAGAGAGTACATGAGAGGGGGGAGGGTCAGAGGGCGAAGCAGACTCCCTGCTGAGCAGGGAGCCCGATGCGGGACTCGATCCCGGGACTCCAGGATCATGACCTGAGCCGAAGGCAGTCGCTTAACCAACTGAGCCACCCAGGCGCCCGACCTGTCTTATTATTCTTAATAAAAGGGATTCTGGCTGCTGAAAACAGAAAAATAAAAATTGTGGCAAACCTGGGTTTGAGTTCTGTATTTGGCTCTTATTCACTTGGGCAAATTATTTTCTCTTCTGATCCACACACAGTTTTCTTATGCACAGGGCTGTTGCGAGTATTAAACAGCATAAAATAAACAAAAGCACCCGGCATCCAGGCTATAGCACAAAGCAAGCGGTCAACGGACGCAGTTATTTTCACTATAATTAATTCACCTCACTGCACCTTTGTGTGAGGCTGGTACTCTCTCCTAGATCTATTTCCAGTACCAAAGATGATGCTTGCTACAGGACTGACTTTAAAGCAAATTATTTCCATCTAACACCTCCGGCGTAGGCACTGCACTAAATAAAACATCATTTTATCTGCCACACAGCAGACACTCAATAAAAATGTGCTAAATGAATGATTAATATTTATTTTTTAACTGATATAAAATCCACCATTTTAACAATTTTAAAGGGTACAGTTCAGTGGTGTGTGTTATATTCTAATGCGTTCTAACCACTGACATCTGATTCCGGCACATTTTTATCACCCCAACAAGAAAACCCGTACCCTCCCCTTTCCTCAGCCCTTGGCGACCATTAATCTGTTACTTCCGTCTCTATGGATTTGCTTATTCTGGACATTTCCTATACATGGAATCATAAAATACATGGCCTGACGTGTCTGGTTCCTATCACTTAGCATCATGTTTTCAAGGTTCATCCATGTTGTAGCATGCATCAGTATTTCGTTCCTTTTTATGGCTGAATAATACTCCATTGTATGGCTATAACACATTTTGCCGATCCGTTCTTCGGTTGATGGACATTTGGGTTGGTGCCACTTTTGGGGCTATTGTGAACAGTGTTGCTGTGAATGTTCCTGTACAAGTTTTTGTGTGAACATATGTTTTCAACTCTCCTGGGTATATATCTAGGAGTGGAATTGCCAGGTCATAAGGTAATTCTGCTTCACATTGGAGAAACTGCCAGACTGTTTTCCAGAGCAGCTGTACCATTTAACATTTCTACTAGCAATGCATGAGGGATCCAGTTTCTCCATATGTTCACCAATATCTATTTTCTAGTAAAAAAAATTAACACTATGTTCTGTTTAAAGTAGAAAAACAGGTAGCGAACCCACACACCCTGCTTTTTTTTTTTCTTTACTGTCTAATCCCATTGTTTGTTGGCCGTGTGAGCCCTGGCAAGATATTTATCATGTGCTAGGACTCTCTTCTGTAAAATGAGAGTGATGATAATATAATTTGTATAGATTGATATTTTACATAAAAGCTTTAATACACACTAGGTACTCAATTGTTATTTCCTTTCTTTTCTTCACTTAGGAGTACACCAGGCAACTTGTAAGCTCCGTAAACATACTCTCCTGGGCTAGGATGTCAAGGCAGAGGATCTTTTAATAATGGACTTCGGAAGTGAAAACTTAAATAGAAGTGCAGGGTGTATTATTTGCCAACCATTCTTAAATGTTAGGCAAGTTTCAGGCTTTAGCTTTAACAGAGGTACTCACCTGAGTATTTGTCTTGACATAACGGGACGTATAGGGACCCACTGGTAGTCTCCGGTGGGCACACTCAATTAAAAAGACCAACAGTTGACCACCTGAGTTCTGCTTGCCAATCCTTCCCCTGTCCTCTGCCCAAACACACACTTCTGACGACGTCTAAGCCATAACCTGCGAAAGGCTCAGCTATAAACCTGGGATGACTTTACAGTCACCCTATATAGTAGCTGAATTGTGTCCTCCAAAGAAGACATGTTCCATGCCTGGTAGCTGTGAATGTGACCTTATTTGGAAATAGGGTCTTTACAGATGTAATCAAGTTAAATGAGGCCATACTAGATGAGAGTGGGCTCTAAATCCAATGACTAGTGTCCTTATAAGGAGATACAGAGAGACACAGAGGCACAGATGGACCGAGGGACAATGGCCATGTGAAGGAGGCCGAGATTGCAGTGATGCAGCTACAAGCCAAGGAATGCCAAGGACTGCCAGCAATGGCCAGAAGCTCGGAAGAGGCAAAGGGTTCTTCTCTGGAGCCTTCAGAAGGAGCATGGCCCTGACAACACCTCGATTCTGAACTTCCAGCCTCCCAAACTACGACAGAATAAATTTCTGTTGTTTTAATGCTCCCGGGTTGTGATCATTTGTTATGGCAGCCCTAGGAAACTAACACAGCATATGACATTTCTGCTCGAAACTGAGCCACTCGGTCAGGTTGAGATGTCAGGAGTAAATCTACTCTACCCCAATGACTAACAAAGACCTATGGAGTCTGTAGTATATTTTAGTAACCTCAAGTCTTTCCTTTTGTCTGTCTCACTTGTAACAATCTACTTTCTACCATTTCTACCAAAATCGGGTGCTACATTGGTAGTACGGCTCTCACAAAGTCTTACTACCACTGAGGGGATGTGGGGGGGGGGGTGGTTGTGAGGAGGGATCAGGTGGGCCAGTGGTTAGAACAAGGTGCGGGAGAGGTCCCGGCCCCAGATCCACAACGCAGAGTACTAACCACTATACGATCACAGCCCGGCCCAGATCCATACCCCATCCATAGCGCACCCTGCCCTAGCCAGCATCTCACAGATGTGCGGGGTCAGAGAGGAGGCTGGTGCGGGCACACTCAGTATCAGGCCTGGAAAGACAACTTGAAGCATATGGTCTCTTCCCAGCTGCAACACTGCTGCAACACCAAATGCCAAGGAAAACATTAAAGGGCTTGGAAATCAAACAATTAAAACAAGAGGACCTTAAGGCTAATACTGAACAGCCATATCGGTGTCTGTATTAAGTTGCAAAGGTCATCTTTTTTAGGTTGCCTAAGTGTCCTGTGACAGGCCTCATCTCTTCAGAGCACATGGCACAACTGTAATTAATTACTTGTTAAATGCCCGTCCTTCCTTCTAGAGGACAGGGGCTGAGTCGTCTTGGTCAGTGTTGTATCCCCAGGATCTGGTCAGGGCCTGGCCTGCCGGAGGTGCTTAATAAGTATGCCACATGAATGAATGAGTGAATGAATGAATGAAAGAGAGGAAGGCTGGTCAGGTTGTTTCTCTGCCACAGCGCTCCTGTGTCTTGGGCAGTAACGGGCACAGGGCATACTCACTGTCAAAGAGGATGATCCTGCCGTCGCCACCACAGGGCTGGGTGTGATCCCCGAAGCAGACACTGTTGCACTCGGTGCTGGCTGCCTCCCCGTACTTCCAGTAATCAGGATTGTTTCCACAGAAGCAAGCATAGCCCGACTCCATCCCAGCAAACTGTCACAGTAGAGCAACAGCACTTGGTAAGTGTCAGTCTGGGGTGCCAGCTGGCCTGAAGGAGCTTGGCAGGTCCCTCTTCCTGGGGTCTCTCCCTCGCTCCACTCCCTCGGCGCTCATTACACACTATCAGTAACTACGCTTCCCCTCCGTCGAGCATCCCTTTTACTGCCTGCGTCTCTACTGTAATTCAGTGAGTTTTAAGGCAGGTGTTGGGGGGAATCCACTAACTTGAAACATTAATAATAGCAGCTCAACATTTTATTGAATGTTTACTGTGTACCAGGTGGTAGGTGCTTTATGGCTAGTCCTCATCACAACCCCATTACAGGCCCCGTTAAAACTTTTCATTTTATTTATTACCATACGGTATGTAACTATTTGTACGGTGTATAGTTGTATACATTTCAACCCATGTGTAGATCTGTGCAACCACCACTACAATCAGGATACAGCACAGGCACATCGCCCCAATAACCGTCCTGTCCTGAACCTACTGCTTTAGAGTTCACCCTCCCATAAACAAACCTTGGCAACTACCTAACAGTTTGCTGTTACTATAGTTTTGTTTTTTCAAGAATATCACATGCTAGGGCGCCTGGGTGGCTCAGTCGGTTGGGCGACTGCCTTCGGCTCAGGTCATGATCCCAGGGTCCTGGGATTGAGTCCCACATCGGGCTCCCGGCTCGGTGGGGAGCCTGCTTCTCCCTCTGACCCTCTCCTCTCTCATGCTGTTTCTCTCTCGCTCGCTCTCCAATAAATAAATAAATAAAATCTTTAAAAAAAAAAAAGAATATCACATGCTATAAGACTGAATGTTTATGTTCCCCCAAAAGTCGTATGTTGAAATCTTAACTCCCAGTGAGATGGTATGTGGACGTGGAGCCTTTGGTAGGTGATTAGGGCAGGAGAGCAGAGCCCTCGTGAATGGGATTAGTGCTCTTATAGAAGAGACCCCAGAGAGCTCCCTAGGCCCTCTGTCACATTGAGGACACAGCAAGACGGTGATCTATGAACCAAGAGACAAGCTCTCACCAAACACCAAATCTGCCAACAACTTTGATCTTATACTTCTAGCCTCCAGAACTGTGAGAAATAAACGTTTATTGACCCAATCTATGGTAATTTTGTTACTGCAGCCAGAAAGGACGAAGACATCATATAAATGGAATCATATAGTATGTAACCTTTTGAGACTGGCTTTCCACTCAGTGCAATGTCTTAGAGATTCATCCAAAGTGGTGCATCACTCCTTTTTATGGCTGAGTAGTAAGACCACTGCATAGATATACCACTGTTTGTTAATCCTTTGGGTTGTTTCTAGTTATTCATGATTATGGATAGAGTTGATATAAACATTTGTGTGTAGTTTTATGTGAGCATAGCTTTCATTTCTCCAGAGTAAATACCTGGGAATGGGGATGCTGGGTTATATGGTAAGTTTATGGTTATAAGAAACCGCTTCTAGAGTGACTGTACCATTTTACATTTGCAACAATGTATGAGTCCCGGTTGCCCTATATCCTTGTCAACACATGTTATTGTCAGTATATTTTATTTTAGCCATTCTAAGAGGTGTGTAGTGGTATCTCATTGTGGGCTTCATTTGCATTACCCTAGTGGTTAATGACACTGAATGTCTTTTCATGTGCTTATTTGCCATCTGTATAGCCTCTTTGGTGAAGTATCAAGTAATTTGCCCATTTAAAAAAATTTTTTTAACTACTGAGTTTTTAGAGTTTTTGTATGCATTCTGCATATAAGTCCTTTGCTGCATAGGTGATTTGCAAATATTTTCTTCCAGGCTATGGCTTGTCTTTTCATCCTTTAAAAAATGTCTTTTACCAAGTAAAAGTTTTCAATTTTGGAGAAGTTCATTTACCAATTTTTTCTTTTATGGATCATGTTTTTGGTGTTACACCTAAGAACTTTCTGCCTAAACCCAGGTAAACCCCAGTCATGAAGATTTTCTCCCCTCTTCCTCTAAGAGTTTTATAGTTTTACATTTTAGTTAGACCTAAGATCCTTTTTGAGTTGAGCATGTAGTCTTTTGTATTTGACTTCTTTCAATTAGCATAATGTTTTGGTGATTCATCCATGTTGTTATGTGCATCAGTATGTCTTATTATATCTTCTTTCTGTTGCTGAGTAGTATTCAAAAGTATGGATATAGCACAATGTATTTATCTGTTCATCAGTTAATAGACACTGAGTTATTTACAGGTTGGGACTATTCTGAATAATGCCACTATGAACGCTTATGTACAAGTTTTTGTGTGAACATACGTTTTTAACTCTCTTAGGTGTATACATAGGAGCGGAATTGCTGGTTTATACGGTTATGTTTAACTTTTTGAGAAACTGCCAAACTGTTTTCCATAGCAGCTGCACTATTTTATATTTCCACCAGCAAAGTAGGAGGGTTCCATCTCCACATTTTCACCGATACTTGTTTTGCCTTTAAAAAAATTATTTTAGGGGTGCCCGGGTGGCTCAGTTGGTTAAGCGTCTGCCTTTGGCTCAGGTCATGATCCCAGGGTCCTGTGATCGAGCCCCATGTCGGGCTACCTGCTCAGCAGGAAGTCTGCTTCTCCCTCGCCTTCTGCCCCTCCCCCTGCTTGTGCTCTCTCTCTGTCAAATAAATAAGTAGAATCTTCAAAAAAAATTTTTTTAAACTATAGCCATTGGTTATTTATTGTGTGAGGTGATATCTCATTATGGTTTTGATTTGCATTTCCCTAAAGACTAATAATATGAGCATATTTCCATGTGCTTATTGGCCATTTGTATGCCTTCTATAGAGAAATGTCTATTCAACTCATTTGCCCATTTTTCAATTGAGTTGTCCTTTTATTGTCAAGTGTTAAGAGATCTTTATATATTCTGGACATTAAATCTTTTTACAGATGATTCACAAATATTTTCTCCTATTCTGAGAGTTGTTTTTTCATTTTCTTAATAGTGTCCCTAAATTTTGATGAAGTCCAATTTATTTTTTCTTTGGTTGTCTGTGCTTTTGTTATCATAACTAAAAAACCATTGCCTAATACCAAGGTCATGCGTATTTATACCTATGTTTCCTTCTAAGAGTTCCTTCTAATAGCTAAAACTAATTACATTTAGGTCTTTGGTTCATTTTTAGTTAATTTTTACATATAAAATGAGGTAGGAGTCCAAATTCATTCTTTTCTATGTGGATATCCAATTGTTCCAACACCATTTGTTGAAAAGACTCTTCTTTCCCCATTGAATGATTTTGGTACCCTTGTCAAAATCAACTGACCATAAATAAATGTATGGGCTTATTTCTGGACTCTAAATTTGATTTCATTGGCCTGTATATCCATCCTTATGCCAGTATCATAGCACTTTTTTCAGTAGTATAACTGAAAGTTAATTTTGGCTCATAGTGTGATGTAAGGACAGAGGTTCATTTTTCTTCACAAAGAGCTCCCATTTTTCTCCAGAACTATTTGTTGAAAGACCATCCTTTATCTCTGTTGAAAATCAACTGTCCATGTAAGTGCAGGTCTATTTCTGGACTCTCTATGGTTTCATTGATATCTATAGCAGGAGTTGAAAACCTTTTTCTTGGGCACCTGGGTGGCTCAGTCAGTTAAGCGACTGCCTTCGGCTCAGGTCATGATCCTGGAGTCCCGGGATCGAGTCCCGCATCGGGCTCCCTGCTCAGCGCGGGGTCTGCTTCTCCCTCTGACCCTCCCCCCTCTCATGCTCACTCTCTCTCTCATTCTCTCTCTCTCAAATAAATAAATAAATAAATCTTTAAAAAAGAAAAAGAAAAAGAAAACCTTTTTCTTTCTTAAAAAATCAGATAGTAAATATTTTTGGCTTTGAGGTTCATACCGTTTCTTGTCAACTACTCAACTTTGCTGTTGCAGCATGAAAAGCATAGACAATATGTAGGTGAATGCGTGTGGCTATGTTTCAGTAAAACTTTATTCGCTGAGTAGATGGGTAGAAAGATTTGGCCCACGTACCACTGTTTGCTAACTCCTGATCTATGCGACTATTCTTATGCCAATACCACTCTCTTGATTACTATAGCTTTAGAGAAAGTCTTGATGAGTCCTCCAAAGTTGATCTTTTTCAAAATTATTTCGGTTATTCTAGGTTCTCTGCCTTCCGTGTAAATTTTAGGATCAGCTTAATTATTAAAAAAAAAACTATCATTTTAATTTGGATTGAATTGAATTTATAAATCAATCTGGGGAAAACTGACAATTTTAACAACATTAAGTCTTCCAATCCATGAATAATGTCTGTATTTTTTTTTAAAGATTTATTTATTTTAGAGAGAAAGAGAAAGTGGTGGGGAGGGGCAGAAAGAGAGAGGGAGAGAGAATCTCCAGCAGACTCCCTGCTGAGTGAGGAGCCCAATGCAGGGCTCAATCCCCACGACCCTGAGATCATGACCTGAACCAAAGTCAAGAGTCAGACTCTTAACCAACTGAGCCACCCAGGTGCCCCACAATGTCAGTATTTCTATTTATTTAGATTTTCTTTAATTTTCTCTTGCAATGTTATGTAGTATTCGGTATATAGGTCTTTAATATCCTTTGTTAATTTTGAGATTTTTTTATGCTATTGTAAATGGAATTTAAAAATTTTATTTTCCATGGAACACTACATCAAAAACTAATGATGATTAAGATAACAATAAAAAAATTTTTTTTTAAATTATTTTCAAAAAAATTTTTTTTATTTTCCAATCGTTCACTGCTAGTACGTAGAAATGCAACTGATTTTTGTATATGACCTTATAACATGCAACCAAAGTGATGTTATGCTCTTGACAGGTTAGGTGGGATACAATGTCTAGTTTTCCTATGACTAGTGATACTAACTTTGATCACTTGAGTAAGGTAGTGTATGCTAGTTTTCTCCACTGTAGAATTCCCTTTATTGTATTTTGTGGGGCGATCTTTGAGGCTATATAAATATCCTGTTCCTCATGCAACTTTCACCCACTAGTAGAGGAGGTCATGGGATATTTACATATCTTGATATTTGTTCTCCAAATCAATTATCACTGATAGTTGCCAAATGGAGAATTTTCTAATTCCAACATTTCTTTTACATTTGTTAGTTGGCATTCTCCTATAAGAAAATGCCTTTCTTCTCCTCATTTATTTGTTCACTTATTTATTTATATCAGTGTGGATTTGTAGATTCTTATTTTATTCAATGGGGCATATTTATTGTTATCATTTTTTTATTTTTTATTTTTATTTTTATTTTTTTTAAAGATTTTATTTATTTATCTGACAGAGAGAGAGAGAGCACAAGCAGGGGGAGCAGCAGAGGGAGAGGGAGAAGCAGGCTTCCCGCTGAGCAGAGAACCTGATGTGGGGCTCGATCCTAGTACCCTGGGATCATGACCTGAGCCGAAGGCAGACACTTAACTATCTGAACCACCCAGGTGCCCCTATTGTTACCATTTTTTTGTTTTGAAGCTCAAATTATGTTAGAGTTGGCCAATGGAGCCCCTTCCAGTTGGTTCCTGTGTCCTTCTGACAAGCCCTCACCATTCCTTACTTTATTGTACAACATGCTTCAGGCTCCTCTTGCACTTTCTCAGGACCAGCTCTAGAATTGGCAATTTTCTCCAAGGAGCCCTAATTCTTATTTAATGAAGAACAGTATCTGGAAACCAAGATCTGAGCACTAAGTGTGCTCTGTGCAACCAGTGTGTCACTGTTCCCAGGTCCTCTCAGTGGACAGAGATAAGAAATACATATGTATATACAAACACACACACGGACCTACAAACATGTTTATATTTATTTCCGTATCTGTCTCTCTATATAGCAAAACCATACACTATACAAATAGCTTCAATGCCTGTCTGACACTATAGGTTTCATTTTGGTTTTCTCTGGCTCCCTTCTCCAACAGTGAGAAATCTGGCTCCCATTATCCTCAGTATATTTACTTATATGCTTTGCAAGCAACCAATTACTCCATCGTGTTGGGCCACCTGCCTCACAAAGCCCCTGACCTTGCCAGGCTACTCTCCTTGCTTGGGCCTGATTAATGGCTTTTTCACTGAATTATTAAGGAAGGACAAAAGAAAGGAAGGAAAAAGGAAGGAAGGAAGGATATAGCAAACAATAGCATTATTGAACCTTAACAGCCAAGGAGTGAACTGCAAATAGAGGAAAGGACAGAAAGAAAAGAAAGTATTTTGTCCAGGCTAGGGCCCCTAATGTAGCAAGGAAATAACCACGACCTTGGCCTATTCCCACATCCCCTGTGAAGCCAGAGATGTCCCTGCTTATAACATTCAAGGGCACAAGGAAATACATAATTCTGTCAGAGGTCAAAGAGGGATACAGATATTGGGCATTTTCCTCTTTTCTCTCCCCATCTTTAGACAAAAATGCTGTCTCACACTCCTGAATGCCAAGCCACACTCCTCCTTCAGTTCCTCCTTGGCAGAAAAATAGTTACATGGTTTGATAGGTTTAAAAAAAAAGTATATATATTTTTAAGTTATCTCGGCAGATTGCATTTACATCTTCATGGGGTGCCTGGGTGGCTCAGATTGTTAAGCATCTGCCTTTGGCTCAGGTCATGATCCCAGGGTCCTGGGATCGAGCCCCACGTCTGGCTCCTGGCTCCTGGCTCCTGGTTCGGCGGGGAGCCTGCTTCTTCCTTGCCCTCTGCCTCTCCCCTGCTCATGCTCTCTCTCTCTGTATCTCTCTGTATCTCTCTGTATCTCTCTTTCTCAAATGAATAAATAAAATCTTAAAAAAAAAAAATAGGGGTGCCTGGGTGGCTCAGTCATTAAGCGTCTGCCTTCGGCTCAGGTCATGATCCTAGGGTCCTGGGATCGAACCCCGCATAAGGCTCCCTGCTCAGCGGGAAGCCTGCTTCTCCTTTCCCACTCCCCCTGCTTGTGTTCCCTCTCTCGCTGTGTCCCTCTCTGTCAAGTAAATAAATAAAATCTTTAAAAAAAAAAACAAAACATCTTCATGCTTTTCTATAGATATTTGGCCATAGAATCATTACCTTGAACCTCTGACTCCGACAAAAACTGATGCAGGTTTGTATGGTAAGTTTGTTAGACGTTTTACTGGCGCCAGTTAGAGGAGGTGGGTTTCCATGATCCTTGTAGCAGCCAAGGTTTCCAGGCACTGGAGGAAAAAGAAAAACAAAAGAATTTCACAACATCTGGCTGTGAAACACCAAGAAGGAACAGCGATATGTGCCAGGTACTTTCATCTCAGCTACTATTTCTACTCCTAAGGTACACATAAATAACAAGCAACAAGCTTTAAAAATGGAAGTCTTAGTATCCTCTGGCAAATGCTGTGTTTCTGTTTTCTTCTGAAGAGTATGTGAGGCCCAAGGTCCACCTTTAACTAATCTGTTCAATATTGATAGAATTGAGCATTGAAGAGAACTAGGAATAATTTCCTCAAAATAGAGAAGCTGCAATATGTAAATTATGTTTCAGAGTCATTGGAGGGCAGGAAAAGCCCTTGGAAGCCCTTCATCCTATGCCTTGTGCCTCCCCTTGTTCTTCTTTTTTTTTAAGATTTATTTATTTTAGAGAGAGAGAGAGGGAGGGAGAAAGAGCGTGCGAGTGGAGAGGGAGAGGAAGAAGCAGACTCCCGCTGTGCACAGAGCCCGACGTGGGGCTTGATCCCACGACCCATGAGATCATGATCAGAGCTGAAACTAAGAGTTGGACCCTTAACCAACGGAGCCACCCAGGCACCCCTCCCCTTGTTCTTTAAAAAACTCCATTAGTGGGTTCTCCCAAGTGCTTTCAGGGAGTGTATTAGTTTCCTATAACTGCTGTAACAGATCACTACAAACCTAGTGGCTTAACATAGCGTAAATTCATTATCTTACAGTTCAGGAGTTCAGAAGTACTAAATGGATCATATGGGACTGAAATCAAGGGGTCAGCGGGGACTTGTTCCTTTTGGAGGCCTGGCAGGGGGTGGGGGGTGTTCCTTGCCTTTTCCATCTACTGGAAGGTGCCCCTGTTCCTCAGCTTGTGACCATACCATTCCAGCCTCTGTCTCCATCACGTCTCCTTCCCTCCCTCTGCTTCTAGCACCACATCACCTTCTCTGACTCTGATATTGGTTATAAGGTTATAAGGACCTGTGTGATGATATTGGGCCTGCCTGGATAATTCAGGATAATCAACCCATCTCAAAATCCTTAACTTGATCACATCTGCAAATCCCTTATGCTACTTAAGATAACATATTAAAAGATTCCAGGGATTACAACATAGACATTTCGGGAGGCCATTATTCAGCCTACCACGGTGAACATACTAGTGTTCCACAACCACACAATTGGATGGTTTGGTCTAGTAAAAAAAGCTGTATTTGAGAATAAAGAAACCTGAATAGATGTATTAACTGTGGTAGATAGCTTTCAAAGACGGCACTCAATGATCCCCACCTCCCGGTGTTCATGTCATGCCATTGTGGAATCCCCTCCTCTTGAGTGTAGATTGGATTAGTGACTTGCTTTTGACCAAGAGAATGTGACAAAGCTGATGGCATGTCACGTCTCTGATTAGGTCAGGAGACTATGACTTCTGTCTTGCTAGCAGACTCTCTACTGTCTTCTTGGCCTATGGACTTTGATAGAACAATACACTATGTCAGAGAGGCCATGTGGCAAGGAACTGAAGGTGCCCTTTGACCAATGTCTAGCAAGAAACCAAGACTTTCAGTTTTTGCAAAGACTTAATCCTACCAACAACTAAGTATATTTATATTCTTCCCCAGTGGAGCCTTCAGATGGGACCCCAGTCCTGGCAGACACTGCTATTGCAGGCTTGTAAAAAACCTGGAAGAGGACCCAGCTAAGCCATGTCCAGATTTCCTGACCCATAGAAACTAAAACAGTAAGTGTGTGTCATTTTTAGTAACTAAGGTCCAGGGTCATTTGTTGTACAGTAATGAATAGTTAATACATCTACATAATACATACTAAATACATGTTGAATGAAGGAATGAATTGATTGTAGGCCATGGACAAATCAAACTTTCTGGACCTGAGTTTTCCATCTGTGTTATTAATTTATGAATTACTCCACTATCAGATGAAGCCCTTTCCCCTACTTTCTCTGTTTGGCTTCTCAGTTTATGTAACTGAAGACATAATAAGACATGTATGAGGCTTGGTCCTAGAAGCACTTCTAGGACAGTTAAGAGTTATATGTTATCCAATTCCAAAGTGAGCCATACAAACTCTCAGAAAGCATTTTTTCTTTCTGTTTAAGACTAGAAAACTGAGCCTGCATGGCTCAGTCGTTAGGTGTCTGCCTTCGGCTCAGGTCATGATCTCAGGGTCCTGGGATCGAGCCCCACACCGGGCTCCCTGCTCGGCGGGAAGCCTGCTTCTCCCTCTCCCACTCCCCCTGCTTGTGTTCCCTCTCTCGCTGTGTCTCTCTCTGTCAAATAAATAAATAAAATCTTAAAAAAAAAAAAAAAAAGACTAGAAAACAGAGGGGCACTGGGTGGCTCAGTTGGTTAAGTGTCTGCCTTCAGCTTGGGTCATGATCCCAGGGTTCTGGGATCAAGCCCCACTTCAGCTTCCCTGCTCAGTGGGGAATCTGCTTCTCCCTCTCCGCTGCCTCTCCCCCAGCTTGTGGTCTCTCTCTCTCTCATTTGCTCACTCTAATAAATAAATAAAATCTTAAAAAAAAAAAAAAAAGACTAGGAAACAGGGGTGCCTGGCTGGCTCATTCAGTGGAACGTGTGACTCTTGATTTCGGGGTTGTGGGTTTGAGCCCCACGTTGGGTGTAGAGATTACTTAAAAATAGAATCTTAAAAAGGAAGACTAGAAAACAGCATGGTCCAGAGTTCAACAAACTTTATATCCACATTAGCCTGTTGGCATATAAAAATATATGTGTGTATCTGTGTGTATGTACACACTTTTAAATTTCTGCCACCATCTAATATCTAACCAGTTCCTGTTAAATTGGCAGGAAGTACCACTGCTAACCCAAAAAGTCACCCTTCCCCCTCCAGCCAAGTGGTTACCCTTCTCTCTTGCGTCACACATGGTTCAAATATAACAAATGTGGCTCACCACACAAATGTTAAAATGCATCTTTTGGAAACAAACCAAATCTCTATAGTGGCGAATGTAAACAGAAAAGCTCTAGGCAGTAGGAGGCTGGTGTTCAGTGGGAGCCTGGCTTGGGAATGGCTGGGTTTTAGAGTTTAAACAAATGCAGTGAGTTAAGCATCTCTAGTCAGGGGCATATCCTATAAGCCCAGTTTGTTAAACGGACCTTGCATATGGAAACCCTAGCCATGCATTCAATGGCTCTTAATAAGAACTACTTGATCGTCATCATCCTGGTCATTTACTCTGATTTTTGTCTCATTTATCCTATTATGATCAGAAGTAAGCATGTTATTATGTATTAGTTTATAGAGAGCCCAAGGCACATAATCATAAATGTTAAGATTAGACATAAACAAGGCTATGGGTTGCATTAATGCAGCTGGAACTTATAAGCTTTATTCACAATTTGGTGAGCAAATCCAGGCAGCTCATGTTCCAGTGGGATAGTGAGGGAGACCCCTGGAAGTCAGACCATACCATGCAGCAGCTCCATCTATCTGATTTCAATGGCCTGAGGTATCATGCCTGTCGTGCCCAAGTCAATCACTTGCCAGACACCAGTGAGTCTACCTCCCAAGAGACTGCAGACGTTTGTCCATGTCTCTGTCTCCACACTGCCACCTCCCCCGGTTAGGCCACCGTCTCCTCCCACTTAGACTACTGCATTGACCTATTCCATCTCCCTGTTTCTAGGTGCACCCTACTCTAATCTAATTAGTACACTGCAACCAGAATAATCTTTACTGTATATTCCAGGCAGAAGGAAGGGCAAGGGCAAAGGCCTAAGGCAAAAACAATGTTGGCCTTTGCAGGAACAAAAAGGAGTGAGGATGGGGCGCCTGGGTGGCTCAGTCGGTTAAGCATCTGCCTTCAGCTCAGGTCATGATCCCAGGGTCCTGGGATGGAGCCCCACGTCTGGCTCCCTGCTCAGCGGGGAGCCTGCTTTTCCCTCTCCCACTCCCCCTACTTGTGTTCCCTCTCTCGCTGTGTCTCTCTCTCTCAAATAAATAAATAAAATCTTAAAAAAAAAAAAAAAGAGTGAGGATGACCAATGAGAGAGAGAGGGAAAAATAATAGGAGCTGGAGGGGTAGGCAGGGGCCCTGCCTAAAAACCTTCAAAGCTCCTCAGGATGAAGTCCAGACTCTCTCACATGGTACACAAGGCCCTGCCTGATCTGTGCTGCTTGCTCCCCTCCCCCTTCAGCATGACTCCTCTCTCTATCCCTCAGCTCATGTTCTAGATGAAAGCCAAATTAAATTATAGTGTATTTGTGAGTTTCCCCATGGCACGTTGCTCTCTGGACTTTTACACATACTCTTTCCTTTGCCTGGAATTCCCTCTCCTGCTTAACACTGTAGCTTGAGCACTATTTCCCTGGGGAAGCACCCCCTGCCCCCCAAATAAGGTTATATGCCCCTGCTGTGTGGTCCTGTAGCAGCCTACGGTGCACTTGATTCTAAACACCTAGGGGCGCCTGGGTGGCTCAGTCGTTGGGCATCCGCCTTCGTCTCAGGTTATGATCCCAGGGTCGTGGGATCGAGCCCCGCATCGGGCTCCCTGCTCAGCGGGAAGCCTGCTTCTCCCTCTCCCACTCCCTCTGCTTGTGTTCCCTCTCTCGCCATCTCTCTCTCTGTGTCAAATAAATAAATAAAGTCTTTAAAAAAATAAATAAATAAACACCTGTTCTTATGTCTCTCTCCCCAATGAACCACGAATGACTTAAGGGTAGGACTGTATCTTCCACACACTATTGTATTCCCAGGGCCTGGTAAGCTCCCAGTTACAGAGCTGGTGCTCTAAAACTACACTCCAGATGCACAGGCATGTTCTGCACCACCAGCAGGAATCACGGAGGGAGTGGGTAAAGGTACCTCTTAGGCAGCAGTAGAGGGACAGAGCAGGGTGGAAGTAAAAGGCAGAGCCGACCTGCTAACAACAACCACTTAAAGCTAGTGACCGCTGGTTCTGACTCCTGCCTGCACACGGTCCTCTCTGGCTATTAGAGACACCATTCAAGGTAA